GGTCTACTTTCTCTCCTCATTGTACGAACCAGTTTTATTATTTACTATATACGTTTATGAGCATATAATATTTTTTTCATTCAGATAATAATAATATTATATGTTCAAAGTTTATGTATTTTTTTTCCGATTACGCTTTAAACGTGGAGTATCGGACTGTATTATATAAAGGTGGACATAATCCGCGTATGGTATAACCGACCCGGCGGAGACTTAAGCCCTAAGCGAATCTCGTACGAACTATGTTGGTATAATAGGTATATAATTCCAACGGCGGCTATCATACAAAATACRATTCGCCCGTTTTTCGTTTCATGGTGACTCTTATACACTGCACACGACATACGTGTAGGTACCGCAACACGTTGAGCTCTGCGTGCATCATGCTCTGATTGGCCGAATGAAATAAAATTATAAAACACCAAAGTGTATAAAATATAGTCACACACACGCGAGACTACATGCGGTGTTGGACGTACGCACTAATTGATTTACAAAAGGCGAACCGGGGAGTTATTAGTGTGATAATTGAAGAAAAACATTCGGGATACGATTTTCGACCCAGAAAACGGATGGTTGAACACGCACGAATGTAGCAATATAGATGTTGGATGATCCGTGAAAACGTTGCTAATTCGTTGGTACATAATTCGATATAAAAACTTTGAAATCCTACATGTACTTACTGAATTTCGCAACGGATACGACACGWTTTCCTACAATATCTAATATACATATATTATAACGTAAACGGCAATTAGTAATTTCCAAATTATTTAATTATACCTATAGGTACCTAATCGGATTTTTTTTCTTTTCAGCAATACTTGTACAAAACATATCACGGTGTAGTTGTAGGTATTCAAAAGTCAAAAATTAAAATTGTTAATACTATATCTAGATATAGATAGCCTACTGTTGCCTAGGAATGTCTTATAAAATTAAATAAATAATAAAAAAAAAGTTGTAGGTATATATTATAAATTTTTATTTGTATAATGCCAGTTCAGACGATTATATTTTTGTCATCTATACTAATAATTAGGGCTCGGATTTAAATGCCCTAAAAATATCAAAAAAATGCCCTTTCAAAAAATGCATTTATGACCTAAAAACTCTCAAAAATGCCCTAAAAATATCAAAAAAGACGTTTCAAAAAATGCATTATTTATTAAACGCACACCACCGATATAATATTATCGCTCGATAAGAAAATAATCCGATAAAAGTTTAGTTGTGTGCAATAATATCGGCTAATTGGATGGTGTGACATAAAGGTTGTAAAAACCGGAAAACCTGATGTTAAATTAGTTAAAATAGTTCAAAATGAAAATAATTTTTATTACGTAGTACTATATTACTATGTAGTACTTATATTTCAATGAGGTCAATTTTTTTAAAAAATTTAAAAAAGCATTAAAACCGTCAAAAAATGCCCTAAAAATGATGAAATCCGCTAAATATGCAAAAAAGCAAAAAAATTATTGTGGTTAGATTGCGAAGTACTTGAAACATATTTGTAGCTTGGAAAGCATCGCGTAAGATATCCCCAAAAAAATATGCAAATGCATTGAAATCCAAGCCCTACTAATAATGATTAAACTACAATTTATTTGTTTATCTAAAATTTACAGACTTACGTTATTGTGCCAACATGTTTTCGAAATTGAAAAGAATTGTACATAATATATATATACAATATTTTTAATACATAGCTGAAATTATTCTCCAAAATGATATGTTTGAAATGTACATTAATAGTTTTTCATAATAATCATTTCAGATATTTTCTTCAACTAACCTCACATTTATATATATTCTGTTTATTCGATAACATATTATATATATACGAGTATATCTGATTCATCGGGTTTCAGAAATAATTTCCATTTTTTTCTTATTACTTTCACGGACCATTTTATTGGAAATGTATGATTCATCGTTATTTTATGCCCTATGGGCTATGAGAGCTATGAGTTATGACTGATATACGAAGAACAATAGAGATATATACACCGAAACAYGAAAACGTGAACTTGTGAAGGTCACCCCACTGATACTGTCACGACCAAGACAATTCTGGCCCATCAGGATATCTGTATAGTTTGTAAAATGGTTCTATGTTTTTAACAATTTTGTAATTTTTTTACACTGGAATTTTGAATTCGACTTTATATTAACAATAATCAAGAATATACGAGAAAATAGCAAGATGCTTAATTTATAGAAATAGAATAAATGTGATGCGATCCTGTAAAATGACTTCTTTAAAAGAATAATGTTATAAATAGACTATATCAATGTAGACCATTAGGTAGTAGGTATACATTAGAAATTATGATAAATTACTTTCAAAAAACAATATTAATTAGATAGTTACTAGTTACGTGGTAAAAATAAATATTATAATTATATTTAATACCTAATATAGAAAATAACTAATAAGTATAGTAGTTCAGCGAAGCATAATTAAATATGGCTATAATTTATTTATTTAATTTAAAAATTAATACTTTCATTAATCTAACAGAATGAATAGTAAATAAACTAATTTACCCCCAACTTAGTTTTCAACAGGTTACTACGCCACTGGTTATACAGAATTATGAAAAATTTCAATAATACGTTAAGTAAATTATTAAAATTAAAATAATGTAGGTTAATTGCAATCTTTCCTTTATAGAAATGCCAAAGAAGAATAAGATATTAAAATTATATAAATAAAATTATGAAGTTCAACCGTTGTGAATTGTAAATATTTACATGGTTTAATGTGAGGAGCGATAATTCATCATTAGAATTGTGTAATAAAATCAACTTAAAATATGAACTCAATACAACGCTTTTATCGGCTGCCGCCTGCTTATGTTATTGCAGCATATAGATTCATAATCACATTGTTTGTTTTAATTTATATTACGATGATAAAATAATATATAATATATAATATTAATAATAATAATGAGGAAAGGTGCTAATAAATTCTTAACGTCATAAACAATTATATAATAACATCATGCATTTAATTAAATACATTTTATTATAAATTACGATAGTTTACGATAATTTATTCATTTTTTTTTTTACTGAAGATTAATATCAAATTCCTATTAMATAAGTTCTTGGATCATGTCATAATTTAAGAGAAAAAAACTCTGTGAGAATGATTATGATTGAAAAAGGATAATTTTTCTACAAGAATGGTAATTTTCTGGTTTTTATACGTAATCCGAGTCTTATAGAAGAAACACAAGCAATAATTAATTAATATTGTATCCGAAATTGGTGTTAAGCCGTTCCTCCGATTACTTCTTCTCGGAAGAGTGATACCACTAGGAATTTAAACAACACAGCATGTCATATTTGATAATTCAAAATTAAGTTTTCAAACCGGATAAAAAGAGTGGCTTTAAAAAATAAAATAAAAACTCATCAAATAATTCTTAGTTTATGTTATATTTCTTACTCGAATTCTAAATTTCTATATATTTTATTATAGTAATATGTCGAAAAAAACTAAKATTAAAACATCATCTTAAAAACAGGTAATGGGTTAGTATGCAGTACAGCTGTAATGTTTTTGTAYCATCTTAGTCTTCTAATCTATAATAAATGTAGGTACGTCATGCAAAAGACATATTACATCCTAAAATTGTATTTTTAAACCAATAGAATAGTGATAAGGCCATGGGGGTTGTTGAATATTTTATGCGGAAGGACACAATTATACAGATTACAGGCGCATACTAAGCATATCAAATAATATATAGATTATAATATAGTTATGTAATTTATTAAAAAAATATACACAAAAAAAATGCATATGGCCGCCATGTTCGGGAAATTTAATTTGTTTCTTCATAAACACACMTAAGTCATAAAAGTATGGAAAAAAATCGAAAAACCGCAGTCGTATACTAAATTTAAAATTGGTCAATTACGTTTAATCGACTAAATTTGGCAATTAAATTACCGCTTTTTTTTTTTGCATAAATATTGGAACACTGTAATAATTAACATTACTTAAGTGTTGATCCTGCACTATACTACGCTACAGTACACCTATATACATATGGATAGCATAACTATACTATTTATTACTATATTTTTTATTACATTATTATTATTATTACAATTTTGAAGTACTGTCTTATTATTACATACACTGCGGGTCACGTTCTTCTAATCTCTTTTATTATGCCACTACCGTTACATAAAAAAACGATCATACAGACAGGGCGCTGGCCTGCACGCTAACCGTTTAAGAGGCGTGTCACACGGGCGAAACCGTCATCTACTTCCGAAACGATTCTTCGGGGTTTGTCGAGCGTGACTTTATTATTGCGATCGGATCGTTCATGCTCTAACCATATAAAAACAAAAAGGCCTCAGGACCCTTTCCAGTCCGTATATTTATACCACACACAAACACACACATAACACATAAATACATACATTATGTTTTCTGAAAATTAGACCGGACGTTTGGATTATTTTGAAATCAATATGGTTACGTGAAGGAAATACTCCACGTAAAAAATACTACTTGAATCTATATTGGTAATCAGTAGAAATTTAAGAATACGATCTGTTATCATACAATAATCAATTATTTTACGTAGATGTCTATATATGCATTATTGACGAGGAAGAGCTATCGATTTTGTAATGACGTTGCGATGTTTAATTTAATTGTATTGAGTGTATGGATCGAACTGTAAAGTAGGAGCATTCTTAATATTAAACATATGCACTCTTCCTATTGATCGAAAATTGTATACATCGTTAGTTTTATACGGACGGATTATTTCAAGAGGCCAATTCTCCAGTAAAAAATATAAGATATAACATAAATCATTAAAGCAATAATCAGCCCAATCGTGTGTGTGTATTTGTTTGTCACAGAAAACTTTTTTTGGTGAYATAGCGAAGTGTTAATCGTAGAAAAATTACCTGCTTGTTGTCAATTCGATAGAGATAAATATAAATCTTAATATTACCTTAATTGTTCAATATATTGCAATCGATCGGCTTTTGAATTAAACCTATAAACAAAATAACGTAAAATATTAATCACGTACAAAAATACACTGTAAAAGTGTTCTAAAAACACACACGCATTTAATGATGATACAGTACGTAAATTATGCAAGGTGTAAACAAATAACTTTTAATGTGTACAGTATAATATATAATAATATGTAATACAATCACAGTACGTTGTAGTATTGGTATATCGATGGTTTATATCTATTCGATTGCGATTTTGCTTCTCGATATGTAGGTAAAATTTGTTTGTATAYATCTCTACAATTATTGACGATTCTGTGAAAGCCGCTATTACGAAAAACGAGAAAGACGYCATTTACGTACTCACTCAATCCAATACGAGCATATTATATTACATACCTACATATTAATACGCGCGATAATTATTACAATATTTATTTATATACTCGGTACATTAACTAATAATAATAATAATCGTTATATTTCAACACATCTCACAATCGCGGGTTCCCTGAAGTGTACAAACACCTTAATCCCGGTCATCGTAGCACCATCGATCACGTTGTGCACCTATCACAACCAACTATTATCTACTCTCTAACATCAGCGCGTAAACATTTTTAATTATACAAATAAATAATAATACCGTTAAAGTTCTCAGTTTTATGTAATATGTAGGACGTAGGTATGTGCGTATATATTATTCATTTCGAAACGCTAAAATTGTAAAATCTCTATAGCAGGTGTACTTATATTTCCTCTACACCGGTTCACTATTATAATATATTGTACTCTAAAAAACAACTCTTCATGATGTAGGCACCTATTTGTGTAGGAATATCGTTTTGTTTTTGTACATGTTTACGTGCGAAATACTGTAGTCATGATTGAAATGCTCGCAATTTTTCGATTGAGAATATAATATTACAACATGACGTGATACACATAATATATGTGTACCATGTATATATACATATATTCGCGACACGTGCATTTATATTATACATCGTATTACATTATACAGAATGGGAAATGAATATAAACGTGTGTAGGCGCGATAAATTCATCGGAACGCCGTTGCAACCGCGATTGTTTCGAGAATAATATAATTACATCGATTGATATTTTTCTACGTTTCGTCGCAAAAAGTAATAACATAATAATCGAGTTTTATTTTATGCGAAAAAAATTCCGATAGTCGTATATAATACCTACCTATACCTATCCATCCTCCATCCACGGATATCGTGCGGTATACAAATGTTTATACGAGTACCGCAAACCTATATAATACTTATATGTGTACACTGTACATATAATATTATAGGTTCTCTTCTTCTCGTCCCCCGTCCGATAAACCTTGACTGATCTRCAGTCGATCCAATTATTGTTATGATATTTCGTCTGTAACGATGTTTGTACGAGTATTTTTTTACTTATTTATTTTTTTGTTATTACTATTACTATCATCATCATTCCATATGCGCTCGTATAATATTATAAGCCTAACACAATAATATGTAGGTTTCTAGAACTGCAGTGTTACTTTTGTAATAGACCCGACGTTTGTGTGTATCACGATGACTGGCATATAGTCCGTATATATATTATGCACGTGAAATGAGAATAGGTATATATATATATATGTGGTACTACACTGCTATTATTATATATAAGCACTGTATAGCTGTACAGTGCTTTTTGTTATTATGTRTTTTCGTACGGTCATGTGCTGGTTTCGAGCTGCAGTTTGGATACGCGTGGCTATCATAATACTATTCGTAAATACAACGACGCGTTCGATGTGTGTTTATAACCTTCGATAGCCGTCACAATAATACAATACTATTATTATTATAATGTATTCGTCGTATTATTACTTTTATCATTGTAAGGTTTTTTGTTTTTCATTCTCTGTCGCCGCCGCGGAAGATGAATATCGTTTCAAATAAAAACTGTTTTCGTTTCGGATTTTTAGCGATATACGTATAGGTACAATATTATTGATATAGTATTATGTTATTATGTAGCCCACATTTTTTCGACATCGTAAAAAGTAAAATACGTGAGAATATGAGTTCGTTGTAGGTATCCGTTCATTATCCTTCATCACTCAGCTAATTTATAATATCCAAGAGATCGTTAATTTAATAAGTAATCAAAATAATATCAAAATTAATAAGTCTATAAAAAAAAATAGATAAAGAGTATTTCAAAAAGAAATATTTAATTTAAAAAAATATCACAGATTAATTATCTTTACAAAATACTGAAATGTGACGAGATAAGAATTTTATTTTATCGACCCTAACAGTAAACGAATACTTTTAGTTTTTTATGTTAAGCAATCTKGTTTGAGAGAAATATAAAGCAGTTTATACGAATGAATTGATGGTAAAATTGCAAAAATTTTATTAAAATAATTTTTTGCTACGGCGTTTTACTATCATAACTATATACGAGTAGTATCATTAATTATATATAAATTATGACTTCAATTAAGTTACATAATATKTTATAAATTATTATTTTATGTGGTACATTGTATACATATATCCAAAAGAGTCTTACGAAAAAAAAAATGATAGAAATTAAATATGATAGGACCTAAGGGCTTTCGAGAAGACGTTGCAACAGTGTATTGATTATTATTAGGTATTATTTTCATTTGCTCGAAATTTGTGTTATGAAATAGTGGTTGTGGATAGAACACCGACTGTCAATATAATCGGCATTATTATTATTAAAAATGTAAATTTTCAATAAAAACACGTTTTGGTCACTTTGGTAGTTACGATTAATATACAGGGTTTTAAAATTTCACCTTGAGAGCTCTCCTAAACGACATTGTTCAAGGTTTACGCACCTAATAAAAATTAACACGAATAATTCAGATTATATTCTAATTTCTACGAATCACTCTAATAAATWATTTTCCATTAAAAAGTTATATAACTATAATAGGTAGGTTGAGCAAAGCAATGAACAAATTGACAAATCAAATTTTTTATATATTTTATATTGACGCATAAGAAATACAAAGAAAAATAYATTCATCGGAGCGCTCAGTTCAAAATAATAAAAGTGAAAAAAACAAGTTATGTAGAAATATTTGTGCAGTTTACTGCAATTTTAGTGTTTATTTATTTTATGAATTATGTTTTATTTTTGTTTAGCTTTCTGTAATTCGTTTAATTAATGCATTTTCATAAAATTTTCTTTCAATCAGTAAAGATAGACTGGAGAATTAGAAAATTTCACAATGAGGTCACGTGACTTCCCAATATGTTTCACTAACCAAAAATATACTTGAAATATCCCATGTGACTTGAGTACTTCTTTAATCAATTTGTATGTATTCAAGAATAATTCTATAAAGTGAAGTACATAATTTATCGTTTGGTTTTTTTTGTCAAGGGAAATCAAACGAGTTTCCAAAATTCAAACACTTGAAAAGTAATAATTTTCTGCGGTAACCATTCAAAAGACGTTTTTGCATTAAGCATTAAGCACTAAAATAGCAGTGGTCCATGAACATTTTTTTTAACGTTAAGCGATGTTTTCAATGTTCTCGAATTATTTATGACTTTATTAAAAAACACTAATGTTTTTCGAACTATTACCAACTAGTATAATGATACAACAAAGATGAAGTATAAATAACAAGACGAGAGATTTATACTTTCTTCGGTTATGCCAATATCAAACTGTGGGAGTTTTTTACTCAAAAATAGATATAATTTTTAATTCATTCTAGGTACTTGATTAAATTTTCATCATGTATTGTTTTCGAATCTGTTAATTTGTTTAATATTTTAACTCTAGTAAAACATAATTAGTTACCTATATACTTCAAAGTGTTGATTATAATATTTATACGCATAGAAAATGATGAGAAATAAAAAAACAATAGGAAACATATTATGTAGTAGCTTTTAATGGTTATAGTTTAGAAACGTGCGTGTTCCTAGTACACGTGTATAAAAGATTTTTAAGTAAAAGTTTTCATCTCAATTAAATAATACATGTGAAATCAATAATAATGATCTAATCAAACACACACATTTTCAAGATTTTTATACTTAAATTTTTATTTAAAAAATTGGATCAATAGTTTCTTTTTCCAATAGAAACTCGGTTAATATAACATAGAGAAAATGTGGTTAATGTAGTATTTTTGCAAGTTAGTTTCTACGAYACTTCCATTAAACCAATAAAATTATATTGACACACACATGATACTTTTGAGTTATGGTTTCAGTAAAATTTGAATTCATGAATAATATATTTTACGTTTATATCAACATCAAAATATATTTATTTATTTTTGAATATTTTAAACTGTTTCTCAGTGATATAATAACAGTAAATGACTCATATACATAATTGCTAAGTCGGGACTCGTAATAATGTTAAGCTTATTGGTCAATGCCGTATACATGTTGTACACTTAAGTCGTTGGGCATAATCCTGAAAGGTCTGAAGCACTTGTAATGAATTACTTTATGATGAAGCTTATAATTTTTGCACAGTCCCGTTTTTTCCTCTTAGGATTATATACAACAAGATGCCATAAAAATGCAAAAACCCATTAAAGTTATAATCATTTTTTACACGGCTACCTACTATAGAGAGCTAAATTCGAGAAACGCTAATCATGTTTTAATTTTTACTTTATAATTCTCTTTTTTATTTTAAAATTCACATTGTATAATTACTTAAATAAAAACATAAACCGAGCAGAAATTTAGCAGATAAAAGAAATTAATAATACCTATTTGATAAAATAGTATGTTACTTTTACTAATATGACGGGTTTAATAAATGTAGTAATCTTCGTGGTATTCAGGTTTTTCCACTAACATATAATTTGAACACATAATTTGTCTCCCCTTTCAAAAAATAAATGAATAAAAAACAAAGTGAGATTAAACGACATTGAATGATTTATTAAAATATTAAAAGGAAATAAAATATATTACATACATACATAAATAGCCTAAACTAACCTAAATTATAGTATATTTATATAATA